CTCTACAGTGTGCCCTGCGGTGGCCAGGGCTGCGGTCCTCCCTGCCTTGGGAAATGGCTCTCTTCCTTTCCACCCACATGTAGACTATGGGGGATTGCTGGTGAGAGTCAGTGAGCGCCCGAAAACACAGTGGGAGGGTTTAAGGGATTTCAAAGGATAGAAGATCAGTCAGATGAGAAGAGGCACCACAGACTCTTAGAAGCAGGCAGCGGGTGATCAGAGTTACTGGGCAGATTTGTCCTTTTAGAAGCCATGAAGTTTCTTGGCTCTAGCAGATGTGATGGCTAGGCTGCTATGGTTCTGCACTTGAGAATCACCGAGGGCATCTTTTCACCAGAGATCCTGGTTTCACTGGCCTGGGCCATAGCATTTTGGAACCGTTCCCAAGGTGATATGAATGTGCAGGTGGGAAGGAGAACCAGTGAGGCATGTCTTCGAGACCCTCGCTACCCAAGGGTGGTCCATGGCATTGGCACCACCTGCCGTATCAGCATCTGCATTTAGCAAGATGTCTGGGAGGAGGCAGGAAGCCCTGGGCTGCAGCCATTTGAACGGTGGCAGCCTGGGGGTCTTCTACCAGAAGCGCAGCGAAGAGGGGGTCTCTGATGTAGGACATTCTGGGCAACTAAACCAGAGGCCATGTGAAGTCCTTCCCTGGCTGGCTCCTGAGACACCCATTCACTGTAAGTCACAGGTGGCGAACACAGAGCCTGTGGAGACCCGAATCCGGCCCTCTACCTTGTTTTATCCAGCTCCGCACCTGGTTTCTACCCTGTGGCAGCACCAAGCTCTCGCTTAACTGTTAAGGAGTAGTTACAGTTATACAGTCCTAACATTACATTCAGCCCTTTGAAGGCAACCATGAGGCTGATGTGGCCCCCGGTGAAAATGAGTTTGACACCCGTCGTAGGGATTACTGTCCAGATACAGGAAAATTAATTTTAAGGACTTACTCCTGAGTGAGTAAGCTTTCTCTTCTCCCCCAGCAGGGCTAGGTGGCCAGCACCTCAGGCTAGGCGAGTCCGAAAGCCAGCTGCCTCCATGTTTGTGCTGGGGAACACTGGCCCCCACCGGCAGGGCTGGTCCACATGCTCTTCTGTGTGAGGACCGCCAGGCGGGGCTCCTGAGTAGGCACCCCAGTGAGCCTCTCTCCATGAGTTCGTATAAATAACCTGTCCTAGCAAGACCCATGGAAAGAGATGTTGGCATGCTCAAGAAAATGGAATTTCAAGCTAAACAAGTGTGATAGGGAAGGGAAGAGATGGGCAAAAATGTAGGCAGAAGAAAAGGGTTAATGAGTTGACCAAGAACTGCATTTTCCTGGCTGACTGTGTCTTTTGGGAAAGAGTCCGAGCTTCCTGATAGAAACATATTAGGGAGATGAGCTCATGCCGAGTACAGTTCCTCTCAGGGGAGGCTGGATGAAAATGAGATCTGAGGCACTTTCCTGAAAATAAATCAGCTTTGAAGCCGGTTTGGAGGCGACTAGCAAAAGACGGGAGGCCTGCATGTCAGGGACGAAACTCTGTGTGCGTGAACGGAACTTGCCCGAGACGATACTAACCAGAACAGGAGAATAGACTAGCTGCAAAACAAACAAACAACCCCTCAGAAGTGACGTAATTATTTTCTGCATCTCCGATTCTAGATTAAATCCAGCTTCTGTGAATTTCTCCCAAGAACTAGAACAAAGGAGCAGAAAACACGGCTGGTTACACAGAAAGGCCCACGCGTCTGTGGTTCCTTGTGGTTGGACTGAGTAGTCTGGCCTGAGCTCTCAAAGAAGAGGACTTTCCCTTAGAGATGTGAATGAACCCTAGTAAGGCTGATGTTCCCAAAGATTAAATGATTTGACTGGTTGTGTCACTGGTCAAAATAATTGTCGGTGGCTCCTGGCTACCAACCAAATAAAATCTAGATTTCCTAGTTTACAATTCAGTGACCTACACCAAATCATGTGAGGTGTTATGGCAGAATGGCTTTTGGTATCAGTCCAGGTTGAGTTCGGGCGTCTGCTGACCTCAGCAGACTAAACCACTAAACCTTTCTGGACCCATTTGGACAATAAGGGCAGCTGCCTTGTTGGGCTAATGTTTAAATGAGATACTGAATGAAATGCACTCAGCACAGTATGTATGCAGGACACAGAATGTGGTCCATACATGGCATTATTATTATTACTTATTGTTGATGATAACAAAGCTCCAGCTTCCCTCTCTCCCTCTCTCCCCCCCCACCCGGGGTTTGCTCGCACCCTACTCTCCTGCCTGAGGAAATACGTCTGACTCCATCCACACATGTGTCCAACTTCCTGTCCAGATTCTACTCTTCTGCCCGGGCGCCCCTGCGGGGCTCACTCTTTCATGCAGCCTTTCCAGGGGAGGTGCAGGTCACATCTACCTTGGTTTCCTCAGCATGAATGAAAATTGATATGGTTGGTGCTCAAAAATTGTTGAATGAGTAAATAAATGAAAGCAAGCAAGCCAGTGAGAGAGTCCACCTAGAAGGCATTGATGGGAACCGGCAGGGGAGCAGGCCGGGGAGGGTTTATGGATTCTGTGGGCCCTGAGCTGTAATCTCACTGCTACCAATTGACCCAAAACAAAGGCAAAGTCTCTTTGGGCTTCTTGTGTGTGACAAGAAAGCCAACACATTTTTCTACCAAGTGCTTTTATATACATCAGTCCTTAGAGGAGTCTCTTACAGGCTAACGCTTCTCTCCTCCTCTCACGTCCTTGAACAAAACAGGCCCAATGAACTCCCTGTGGAGCCTGGGCCTTGCTCCTGACCTCTCACTTAGCAGCCTTCTCCAGCCTTGAAAACCCAGTAAAAGCTCCAGTTGTCTCACAAGTCACAGTCTAAAGCTGCAAGGTCCACTGGGCACACACAAGCCAGTGGCTCCCTGCACGGCATCTTTGTATTAACACCCTTTCCTCTGCACATGGGCCATGGCTCTGCCCAGAGATTGTAGGCTGGAGGGGCAGCAGGTCCCACTGCCGGCCCCCTCGGCTGGAAGCCCTGGTGCTGCACATCCATGAGTGTGCACACACAGACATGTGTAGCCTTTCTCTCTCTTGCTTACAAAGAGATAATGTAATAGGGGTGCTCTTTTGGAGATACACTTTCTAGGAGCTGAACACAGGTTTTGCAACACAATACATTAAAAAAATGTATCTCCACACAACTCTTCTTCCTGGTTGTTCTCAAGCAAAGAGTGCTGGGGCTGCCAAGTGCACACATGCCCCAGAGAACACAATGGCTGAATGGTCTGGCCTGCATGTGACTCAAAGATATTCTGATCTCAGAATTTTTCTCTATGAAAGACAGTTGTTGTCGTCCTCCTTGGGGGCATGGAGGGCCAGGAGGGTTCGAGTGCACACGGTAGGCGCCCATTTCAGCCACCGAGCTCCTGCCTGCTGTGATCAGGCCTGCCTCTCTCCTGGCGGACGACCCTGTAACTACGCACCCTGGCTTTCCTTCCCTTCTCAGACTCTCAGCCTCTAAATGCATTGTGGTTGGTGGCAAATATGCGCAAGAATGTGTAGGACCAATTTTTACCTGGAGATATAGAAAACTGGGGGTGAATCTTAGTGCCACACAGAGGCTTGAGCAACAGGGAGGCTGAGTGAATGTTGGAGGGACAGGGGTGTGGGCCTGGTCAGTGAGGCTGGAGCCTGGCAAAAAGTAGGTTTGACCTCACACATTTCAACTCCAAGGACCCAATAAACACCTGCTTTCTATCAGAGTCAGCTTCATACTATACAATGCACATGTGCATTTGCTGTTGCCAAATTTTCAGTCATGGTTGGGGAGCCCTCTCTTTAATTAATCCTAAGTTACCAAAGACCTTTTCTCCCCATAAAACCCACATTAGTAATATCACCTATGAACCCACTGAATGCCCTCTTTGTGTTGGCATACCTCATAATTAGGGTCTCGGCCAAGAGAAAGCATAATCAACTAAAGGACTAGACATCAGATGGTGCAGACTGTACAGGCAGACCTTGGCGGTATCGTGGGTTCAGTTCCAGCCCCTGCAACAGAGCATGTATCACAGTCAAGTGAGCCGCATGAATGTCTGGTTTCCAGTGCATATAAAAGTTGTTTATATTATACTGGACTCTATTGCACATGCAATGGTATTATGTCTAAAAAAATGCACACGTTTTAACTTAATATTTTATTGCTAAAAAATGCTAACCATCAGCGAGCGGCTCATGATCTTTTTGCAGGTGGAGGGTCTTGGAAAAAATGCATCTCTGTGAAGTGCAATAAAATGAGGGGTGCCTGCATGTCTTTGGGGCCCATGCTGCGGTCATTTGAGGCTGGCTGCATGGGACGGAGTTTATTCCCCATTTCTACAGCACATGGCAATTCACTTTCCCCTATACAGTCACTTACTATTTTGACTGACAGAATTGACTGTCAGACCCAATTTCCCCCAAATATATAATGACCTATGAACTAACTCTAAGTCCCCCACAAACCCCTGCCCCCAAAAGAAAAAGGTAGTAGCCAGCCTTCTGCTCTGAAAAGAACCTTTCTTTGGACATCAAGAACTCAAGGCTGTGTTGAAAACACCGATGTGTGTGGGAGCCCTCTCCACCACCCTCAGAGAGGGCTTCCTGGGCATTAGCCTTGGCTTTTCCTCCAAATGAATGGTCACTATCCAGTCAGTGTGGTTTAAGTTTCTCTGGGCTCATCTCCAGCACCTTCTGAAGCAGCGAAGAAAAGGGGGGCTTTCCCATCTAGCAGGGTGTTCAACCTGGGCACCCTCCACATACCCCGAAGTTGAGCTGTGCCCACTGTCTTCCCCCTCCACGCTTCTTGCTCATGGGACCCGTGACATGAAATATTTAGGGGACCTCATGTGTTTCTGGGGGCTCAATTAAAAACCCTTCCTTCAGTAAAAATTCAAAAAGAAGAGAGACAGAGCTGCGGGAACACCCACCTCCTGCTCCACATACATCTAAAGGTGAGGAGGAAACAAACCACACATCTAAAGGTGATTAATTGTCTTTATTGGAGGAAAACAAGAAGTCATCGGTCTCATTGCCATTATGATAGAAACCTTGGTATGTGTACATGATTGTCAAGGCAGAGAATCATCTGCTACACAGCCCATTCACATTTTTTTGCAGAGCCGCAAACCTATGAGGGCTAAACTTCTTGCAGAATTTGTTACATGCATGGACTAAATGCACAGTTTCCCTTCTGTTGGGCGAGCATGTTTTCATGGAAAAGTGGGACCAATCGCAAGCCTGGTAATAACAGACATAGGGACATTCCTGGGTTTGACATTGGAAGCTTTTGGGAAACATGCTTAGTGCTGGGACAGCCACAAGAAGGGCAATGACACTGTGTGTAGTGACTAAAGCCAATTGAGAAATTGCCCCAAATTTGATTCTGGATGGAATGTTTCTTTTATGTCTTCCAACATGAGCGTGGGACTCAGATAAACGCTCTCTCTGAAAACCTAGCATTTCTGTTGCCATTTGGACACATCTCATACCACTCTGAAGGCCAAGGGCCCCGGGGGAGAAGAGCACAGACAGCTCCCTCTCCCTCCCCGCCCCTCCCTGCCTGGCTGCCTTTGCTGCCCCCGGACCCTGCTCCCCAAAGTGCAGGCCTTCTCCAAGTCCTAGGAACCTCAGCTTGTCCAGATTGAGGTTTTCCTCTGAGGAGTAATTTATCTAGTGTTTGGGGCTTTTGAGTCCCTGGTGACATTTTATCGCTACAACCAATGCCTCAAACACTCCTCTTGTTTTCTTTTTTCCTGTCAATAAGAAAATAAAATCACCTCTGAGTAAAATAATTCAGTAAATAATCAGAAGACATAATCATCATAGAAGTTCCCTGGAGACCAAAAGGTTAAAAATGAGTATGGTGAATGCAGAAGCGCTTTAGTACAAAGGGTGAATGCAACAGTTTGTCCCTTTGGTGTAGAAAGATACAGAGAAGCCATTCCATACTTTGCTTTGTCCACAAAACCAGACCTGGCAGCCACATGCTGTGGGTTTGGCTGCCAAAGGCGCAGCCTTTGGGTTTGTAGATGCGGGGCCCCAGCGCCATGAGTGGGGCTGCTCCCGCTGCAGGTGCCGGGGAGGCCGGGGCGCTGCTTTGCCCACCTGCTGCGGGCCAGGCCTTGGCCAGCATGCAGGGCCATCCTCGCAGTGGGGCCAGGCTGCTGTGCCCATGCCTGGGTGGCAGGTTGCGGGGCGCAGGGACCACAGTGGAGGTTTGGGCTGAACAGGGCACGGGCCTCTGTCTTCTTCCTTCTCCTCCTTGTCTGCTGTCCACAGTAGCTGGCTCACCTACAGACCAGTTTTCTTGAGTCTTCAGGAAATGTCTCTCTCCTTTTAGGGTCTGTTTGCCCAATTCACCTTTTCTATCTGAACATTTTCAATTCTGAAAGCCAAAGGACTGCAGGAATACTTTGTTTTGCAAAAAAAAAAAAAAAAAAAGTACACTTGAAGTCCCCAACTAGAACCAGGCATACCCCCCAAAAAGAATGGTGGATTCGTACAGTTATACATTTATTTTGGAGACAAACTAAACAGTGTTTTGGTCTGGAATGTGTTAAGGAAAAGGCAAACTGCCGAGTGTGAGTAGACAGAACGAGGAAGTGGCATCGTTTCGGGAGGACATGCAAAGGCTTCGTGCACTGGTTGAGTCAAAACGACCTTCATTTCACCGGCCAGAAGCGAATGAGCGACCTGGGAGAGTGCGTCTCATTTCTGTCCGTGGAAGTGGGAGGGGCTGCCCTTTGCCAGCCCCTGCTTCCCTTTCTCAAATCCAAAGGAAACCCTGAAGTGTGTGCTCTGACGATCACACAAAGTAGGGGGCGTGGCTCGCAGGAGCACAGAGGCCACAGCCGAGCCCTCCAGTCTCCATCCAGCCCTGGAGCGATGACTGTTGAGCGTGGCTTCTCCAGTGTGACGGTGACAGCAGCCAAGGCTCTGGGTGGGCCATGGGGCCATGGGGCCAAAGCCTTAACAACACCGAGTTATCTCCGCTGGGATACAGTCTTTTCTTTCTGCTCGGAACTGCTCCTAAACTGTTGAGCCCCAGTGGGCGAGTCAGATTGGGCTGTTACTCCTTGAGGGAGAGGCCAGCCCGCTTTCAGGGGGGGTCCCTTGGGCTCCTTCGCATCTGGTGTCCTTGGCTTTCATGCTAAAGTTGAGTCCCCCTCCCCCACCCACAATCCATCCAGGACGTGCTGGATACCAAGGCAGGCAATGAACAGATGAGATTAGTGCTGAACAGGTAAACTGAGTCTTAGGGTCATGTGCCTAATCCCTTTCATCAGATGGCTCCTGCTTCCTCAGTGCCAGTGCCTGGCCTGTTGCTCCAAGGGTGTCTTCTTTTGCTCCAAGCCGATTGCCAAGTTCCTAGGACGCTGTGCTAAGAGCTAGCTGGAGAGTAGGACCCTCTCTCAGGTTAGGCTCCTGTGCCAGGGGGGCTGCTCCGTTCTTGTGGTGGCGTTTTAGGAGTGACTGGAATCACTGCCACAGTCAAGAACGCAGAGCCATGCATGGTTTTGGGGGGCCTGCTTTCCGCAATTTTCTTTGAAAAGGGAATGTGAAGGGGACATGTCGGCTCTGTTCTACTGAGGAGCCAGGGGCAGTCGGAGATGGTGAAACTGCAGGAGCAGCCTGGCGTGGCTGTCCATCCCTCTGGACATCTGTTCTCAAGGCTGCCAGTCATGGCACTTCATGTGGGCAGACACTGCGCCTCTCAGCTCCAGCTGCTGCTACCTGACCCCGGCCCGACACCCCAGACCCCAGTGTCCTTGCTGAGGGACAGCAGCAAGCAGTCCAGGCGCCCGGGCCACGGTTAGCCGCACACTGCTGGTTGGTCTGGGGCCTACACGTGGGCATGTGCTTGCTGTTTCAGACAAGTGCTAGCTTCACTTACGGCTTCCATGGTGAGACGGAGGTCAGGGGAGCTAGGGAGGCACAGACAGGCAGCTAGGGAGGCCATTCGAGGACACTTTCAAATGCGATATTCAAGTGAGGAAAAAATCCACTTGCTCTCAGAAGGTAAAAGAGACCAAATGGGAGGCTTGGGTGGAAAGAAAGCCTGTGGTGGGGGCCAGTGGTCCACCCTTAGCCTCAGCCACATACTGACTCGAGGGCGGGTATAAGCCGGGAGCACATATGAGATGCTCAGCTCCTGTGGGTGGAATTAGACTTTAGGGAGGGTCCTGGGACTCTGCCACCCACCCTGTAGGTCTTAACAAAAGGTACATTCTGGGCTCTCTTCCCTTGTGGTTGTGAGACATGAGTGATACCAAATACACCTGAAACAGAGCCTCTAGCCTTATGCCTCCGGTTCTCTCAAAAGGTCCAAAGTTCTCCCACATGACAATTATTTTCTCCTCTTCATAAAACAATCTAAGTCTGGTGGCACTGAGATGCTATGGACTTGCCTGATGTCCAGTTCAACCTTTGGAATGAAACCCGTCCCCACCCCCGGGCACAGCACTCTGTGACCAAGTCCTGATGTGTTACGGGCCAAGCAGGGCCAGGAGCCGACCCCAACTGCATGAAGGGCACCAGCCGCAGCGCCCACCTTCCAGCTGTTCCGCACTTTCCAGGTAAGACAGACTTTCAAACTAAGTGAATGTAACATGCACACCATATAACAGCTCCAGAAAACAATGTAATCACCAGTAATGGAATTTGGCTTCGAATGTTGCCTTCCCAGTGCAACTGCCTGTGTATCACACACAGTACCAAGAACAGAAGACCACTTGGCCCACATTATAGGTACCAAATTTAGGCAAATTTTCACTCCCGATGACATCGAATTACTTGTTTTCTTATACTGTAGAAACTGAAATGTCCCATTGCACTCGTTAATGAGCAACATCCTACTAAACCTCCTGGAGAGATGCCTGCCTTTCCTCAGATACTCTTTACATTTACAAGATTCATGCTTTTACTGCATGAAGGCTGAGGGGTGGGTTTGATGCATGTCCAACTCAGCTGATGCTTGTTTCTCAACTGGGTCTGTCGTCATTTTAGAGTTTTCCAGGCTTTTTACAGATTTCAAAGAGTGATAGCCTGATTTTACTCTGGTTGCACGTGTGGCAGATGCCAAGTGGGATCCCTGCCCAGGGGCCGGGTGCCTGTGACGTGCGTGGGAATAGGACGGACCAGCGCCTGTCTTCCCCGCTGCTCCGGTGAAGACCCGCACTGCCACCCCACAGGAGGCGGGATGGAGCCCTGGACCTGCCGACACTGTGTGTGCATGTTGGGGAGGTTGTCCCTAAACGTGTGGCCCGGACACAGGCAAAGGTGTGCAAGTGACGAAGACGGCTTGACCAGCAGGACCTGCCGAGTCTGGCCAACTGCAGGAGCAGGGCATGAGGACAACAGTAAACCTACAGGGACACACGACCTACAGGGACTGTGTGGAATGCAGGCGCCTGGCGCTGTATGGCTGTTGACAGAGGGCTTTTGCAAAGTTGGCATCTGGAGACAGCTGCCTGCCTCTATGAGGCGGCATCCTTTTATTCCCCTTGAAAAATGGTTTGCCCTGGATTTCACACTGTGCTCGCTCCATCTTGCACATCTATCCACCACACGGGTGAACCAGTGGCCTGGCTTGCCCGGGCCATTGCCAGTTTTAGCACTGTGAGTGCTACACCCTGGGAAATCCTTCAGTCCCTGGCAGGCGGGGACCTTTGGTGACCCCCCATCACAGGTCTTTGGTTTTCTGATAGCCCTGGTCAGAGGGACAGCTTTAAGTGCCAGCTGAGCCTGGCTGGGACAGTCTCTGGCCATCACTGTAGCCCGTGTCCTGCTTGCTTGGCAAGTCAACTCTTCTCACCGACCGAGATAAATGGATTCTTTTCTGAGGCCATTTCCCTCTCCTCTTCCAGATAATATTCATACAAGAACAGAGTAAAAATATGCAGAAACTTATGTGACCCGGAGGTCATCTTAAGTGAAAGATTAGAAATGCATTTTTAAAAAACAGAGAGAAAGAGATTACTTTGAAAACTGCATAGCTGAGAGCAGAGCTGTCGTGGGTTACCCCTGATGAGACATAAGCAGCGTGGAAAGTTCCCTTTAAACGGCATGGCACCTCGTTCCTTTTGTGAGAAAGGTCCTTACACATCTGCTGGGCAGGAGTCTCCTTCATGGCAAGTCTTCGGCCTTCAGTCTTGGGGGAGCAGGCTTTTTAATTTCTCAGCGCTGATGGTGACAGGCCCCTCAACTTCTCTGGTTGGTGGGGGAGGGGTCGGAGGAGCTGCCGGGAAGGGTTTCGGCGGGTCCCCTCCTACAGCGCCCAGAGAGAAGACAAGCTGCCCCTCCACCGGTGGGACCAGACACGGAGGGATGGAAGGGAAGTGCTCTCTCCACCTCGGACGCAGATTCTCAGTCCTCATGTTAGAAATTCAGAAAATATCCAATACCTTGAAATTTGACTTGGAGGAAACAAAATCTCTTAACAGTTAACATAAAACTACCACCAACAAGCAAAAGATATAAGTCATATAACCAAGAAGTACAGATTGCAAGGACACATAGCTTAAAAGGAAAAAATAAACCCTAATGCACAATATTTACCAATACTTAAATAATCCAGTTGAAACCTCTTTTTGTCATTGATGAAAAAAATACAACATAAGCGGTTACCTGTACTGAGAAGAGCAGAAATGACAGAAGCAAGGGAGAGGACAAAGAAAGTTCGTTCCGTTAGAGCTTTGCCAGATTCATATGTACAGCACCAGATCCTGATAAATCAGCTCCCTTGAGTCAGTACAGTCTATGAGAAATGAACACTTCAGAATTGCAGTATAAAATATGGCCATAAAAAAACTTCTGTCTTCCAGTCCTGTGCAGGAAGGTGCACCATGCAAGGTGGGGTCACTCTGGAGTGGCTGGTGGCACTGGTGGCCCCTGGGGGCTCCCTTCTCTGGCTCTGCCCGAGGCCCTGCCCCTGGGCCCCACCTCCAGAGCCGGTCACTTGCTTCCAGAGTGCACTGTCGTCACAGTGGTGGGCCTCGGTCTCCGCTCCGCTCCCACTCCTGAGACCCCTGATGAAGAGGAAATGAAACTACAGAGCGTGGAGGGTGCCAGACCTGCAGGGACAGTGGACACAAGGATGCAGAACTTCAGAAGGAAGTACTCCCGCTCCTGCTGCAAGGGTTTGTGCGGAGGCCAAACTGCCCCACGTTGGACTCTAAGTTCTACTTTCCCATAGGAAAAACATTTACGGTATGACCAGAGTGCTTTCTTCTTAGACTCAACTCTTCCCTCCTTTTTGTCATAACTGCTTTGCATTTGACTCTGACATGGTTTAGCCACCATAACATAAGTTCCCTTTACTGAGCACGTACTATGTACTTGGCATCAGTGAGGTATTAAATACTCACTGCCATATGAGAACTGTTTATTTTTATTTTTTAAAGATTTTATTTATTTATCTTTAGAGGGGAAGGGAAGGAGAGAGAGAGAGAAACATCAATGTATGGTTGCCTTTCATGCGTCCCCTGCTGGGAACTGGCCTGCAGGGAACCAGCCTGCAACCCCCCGCATGTGCCCTGACTGGGAATCGAACCGCGATTGTCTGGTTCGCAGGCCCGCGCTCAATCCACTGAGCTACACCAGCCAGGGCCTAGAACTGTTTATTTTTTACAACAGCCTCATGAAGTCGTTATTTGAAGAATGAGTACAGAATGGGATATACCACCTTACGATGCCTGCTTGGTGTGTGGTCTGTACTCTTGGCTAAGAAGCATTTGTGACCAGAGCACATTGAAGTGGGGCTGTTTGCCGATTCCTGTGTGGACACAGCAGCCTCTGGCCTGAAAACACTCCTTACGGACAGCACTTCCCGAGTAGGTGTGCTGGCACCAAGGTCTGGATGTGCTGAACCCGCCACCACTAAGCTCCAGTACTGTGCCCTCTCCCATGAATTTGCAGGCTTGGACAACCCATAAAACAAGCGCTTATGATGGCCTCACTGCCACAGCCATTGTATGCGCCTTCAAGAAAGGATTGACCACCAGTGCCCTTTCGGCGGAGGGTGGAGAGGGTCTACGCTGAACCGGGAATGTGCAGTGGTGTGCAATTGGGTCAGGGACGCTCAGGGAGATTCTTGGGAAAATGGCAGGACTGGACACTCCTGAATGAAATGAAAGAGCTATTTAGTGATGAGGGAAACCTTTTTCTGAGGCAAACAGGAAAAAGCATAATGCCCAGAATGATGGGTGCTAGGGCGATGGCTAGGGTGGTGAGGGCTGATGGGGAAGATCCGGGCAGCTGCTGCAAAGCAAAGGGGAGCATTGCATGGCCTGAGAGGAGATTAAGGTAAAGATATGGGGGGAGGGTAGTGAGACAGATATAAGAAGAGCGTAAGTGCACGCTCAATGACATAACATTTCCATGCCAAGGGGAAGGACATGAAATAGTATTACTATTATTTTGATTGTAAAGCCAATGCATTTTATACAAATCAGCTCCAAGGATCATCATTCTCATTAAAAATTCTGTATGAAAAGTCCCTGAGATCAGGCTGTCACAAGCCTCTGCCGCACCCTCCTCAACCCTTCAGGGTGACTCACAACGACACGGAAGTCAGCGGGCAGGGAGATGGACCCGCAGGTGCCGGGGCTTTTGTCCGGGCAGACGGGGACCTGGACCAGACCCTCCGCTAGGAGCGGAGATAACTGTGCCTCAGTTTGTGTGGATATACAATCATTAATTTTTGGAACATAAATTGGTGTAGCCACTGTAAAAAACAGTACGGGGGTTCCTCAAAAAGATAAAAATAGAGTACATAGGACCCAGCAATGGCTCCTCGGGGTGTCTGCCTGAGGAACCTGGAAACATGTCCCCGTCCGCACCCCCATGTCCGCTGCAGCACCACAGGTACAGCAACGGAAACAACCCGAGTCTCCTCGGATGGATGAGAGGATGAGGAAAGTGGGCGCCCTGTGGACAATGGGACACTGCTCAGTCACAAGAAGGACAAAATACCACCATTTGTGACAGCGTGGACAGATCGTGAACCATCATGCCAAGTGAAATGAATTAATGGAAAAGGGCACGGACCTTACGACTTCACTCACATGCCGGGTGTAAAACAGGAGGCAACAAACCAACAAATCACACACAACACTAACTCCTAGACGCAGACAACAGCATTTACCCAAAGGCAGGGGAGACCAGGGAAGGACACGGAGGGTGAAGGGGGTCAAATTCAAGGTGCAGGAAGGAGACCAGGCTTCAGGTGGCAGGCACACAGTGAAGTGTGAAGACACCGTATTATAAACATATACGCCTGAAGCTTATATTAGCCAACGTTACCCCAATAAATCGGATAAAAAAGAAACTATTTAAAAAATCAAATCATGCCCTAGGGCTGCTGGGAGTATTAAATGGGGTAAATGGTTGAGAGTGCCTGACATACAGCAGGGACTCGGCCAACGACAGTGCCCTCCTCTCCATCCCGGACTTGTCCTGAACGTCAGGGGCAAAACCCTGTTCGTGCTACATACGCACAATCTTTCTGGCTGGCCAAGCTGAGGCTGCTCGAAACGCCGGCGTTTGAACTGTCCAGGCTGCTGCCAAGGTGGAGTTTCCTCATGTGTCTGACGACGGCCGTGGCATTGAACGCTTGCTGAAATTTAAAAATGGAAAAAGGCAGACAGAATAATTCCAGTTAGTGAAAGAGATGCAGACTGTCTCATGTTATCTTTCCTGTGGCCCTAAGTATCTCCAACTTCTGAAAATGTTCTCATGATACTCTAGAAAGTAAAGGTACATTGCCCCTTCTTCCAAAAATACACTAATGTATTTGCCCCTCTCCCAATCAAAATATATTTTGAGATAAAAAAGAGTTTTCTTCTTATATAATATACATACAGAATAAATGTAAACCAATTCTCTATACCCTAAGAGAAGGGACTTTTAGAATAAGAGGCATATTATAAAAATGTAATACCTTGAAATAATGACATTTTAAAATAATTTTAATTTTCCTATCACTGGCGATTTTGCCCTATGTAATGGCATTTCCTCTGAGTACAGGAGGTCAGCGGAGTTACTTTAATAATCTCCGTAGGGGGCTCACTGTTGGCACTGACCTCCCTGTGCCGATTGGAGCACAGGGTTTGGGCAGCCAGTGGATGGTCGCAAACCTCAATGGTCTACACCCATCATGTCTTTACCAGAGGACTTCAGCCCAGATTTCCCGTTCGCCTCCCCCTCATGTCACTTTATCACAAGTCAACCAGTCAAAGTTCCAGCAGAGGAGGAACGTTAAGACACAGCCCATGAGTCCGAGCTGGCACTATTGCTATTTTTGACTCAACGGGGCAACGTTAAATCACCGACTTTGGCTGCCTCACGCCATGATACTGCAGGTCTTTATCATTACTGGTTAAAATTAGCCAAATTATTTGGATGCGGTTCTAGGGGTTTTCATGCAACACAGGTGACAGTAACCCTGCGAATAAAAGGTGCTCCCGTGTTCCCAGGAGCGGTTCAACTCGCTGAGGGTGTGATCCACGCAAGACTTACTCTCCACTTGCTCTTGGCGAAGTTCTTCCGGATCTGGGCGCTAACAGACTCGTGGATGTTTTTGCTGAGGGCTGTGTCACCCGCGATCCTGAAACACAGGCCGAGGTGCTTTTTCAAAGGGGTTTCTTGGGGCTCTGACGTTGGCCCTGCTTTGCCGGGGGGAGCCTCATCCTCACCCCCTCCCGAGGCTGACAGAGAGGCTGGTGTGCCGTTGCCCTCCCCACAGGCATGGATCCTGTCTGACCCCACAATCCCCTCCGCCACACTCCAGGTCCGGCTCTACACGCTGCAGCTGCTCCACGATGGGCCAGCACCTTCGTGGCTGACCTCTGCCTGGCTCTCACTTCGTCTTTGTTTGACCTCCATTCCTGCAACATCCACAATGACAACGCAACCTTCTCCCTCCTCCTTCCACACCAGCTTTCTACCTGCAGCGCTTCACTTGGACTGTCTCAAGTGTGTTCCCTGCCTGGTCTGCCCACCAGAACCTTCCCAGGGCCTTCTTCCCTGCTTTCTCCTGCCCCAGGCCCTGCTCTCTGCCTTCTCTGGGCCCCCCTTCCCATGGACCAGCTCACATCCACGGGCCCACAGCTCTCTTCTGGTTCCATCCAAGCTGCACTGAGCGCTGCAGGATTCCACTCACCTACAGCCACACCCCACCTTCTCTGTGCTCAGCCAGAGGGTTCCCAGCCCTGGCTCAGCCCTGCCTGGCACATCTGCTCCTGAACTTCCCAGACAAGCTCTCATATGTGACCACATCTACTTTACATTCAACTGGGTCCTTGCTGTTACTAGGCATCAATTCTTGTTGTTCTTTAGTCTCTATTAGCAAAGAAGAAGGTGGGTTTGCTCCTCACCTCCCGTCCTTAGAGTTCCCCCTCGTCCGATAACTTCCTCCCTCTGACCCCCACCCCACCTTACACTTCCCCCTCTCCCTCTTCTCTCTCAGCTCACCACCTCTCAGGGCTCGGTAACCAGTGGGAGGGCACTCGCAGCCCATCTTCTCCCACACATCCCTTCTCAACCTCACACCATCCTCCGCCCACATTCAACCACTGGCCTTCCCCCCAGATTCAGAGGCAGCTGTCCTTTATGCTCAGTCTTCTGGGCTTGCATCCTTTCAACTTCCCTTTCCTTCTCAGCAAACTATGAAATTCTAGGCAGATACCTGATGCCTAAGAAATGATTTCTTTCATTTCGGAGAAGTTAAAGAACAGACAGATGCAAGGGACGTGGACCGTCCTTTCTGGCTGGAAGGTACGTGAGGACACCTGTCGTCTCCCAGACCCAGAGGGTCCTGGACACATAAGAGCCTGGATGCCAGACTGTTAAGTACGCATGTTTTGGGAAGTGAAAGGAAGATGCTTTATTCAGACAAGAAATACTCCCTGGATGAAAAACATGCTCCTATATAACCAGCCTTTCACTTCAGAGCTGACAACATGGTGGAGGGACTGGACATTCAGTTTGGGTCAGGCTGGGCCTAAGTTCTGAACACCGTCTAATGTTCCCACCACCAGCAGCTCCCCATACGGACTCCTGACTTGTTCCCAGCAGGGCTGGGGATACTTAGCCCAGAGGACACTCAGAACCTGACTGTCATGAACCAGATTTCCACTTCCAACAACTGTCAATCACCCCCTTCCCCTGGACACAGGTAGTGAATAGAAACAGGATATCTGAGTGGGCAATCCATCCAAAACCAGAGTAACGGGCAGGCTGGGGGCCGCAGACATCTTCATTAGGCTCTTTCTCCTGGAGAGCTTGTGTGAGTATTTCCTCCCACACTCTTTGTAAAAGCTCCGTCCTCAGAAAAGGAGGCCATGCCAGCTCGTTGGTGGCCAGCTCTTTCTTGGAAACAGCCGCACAGAAGCGGTAGGAAGTATGGAACTCTCAGGGCTGAGCACGGCCGCAGGGCTGAGCTGTGCTCCAAACCAAACAGACTGGTGAGCAGGCAGGGAGACTCCCTTCTCTGTGGGTGAGCATGGACCCAGATGGAAGGAAAATGCACACTTCCAGTTATTTCAGGAATGTTCCGCACTCACGTCCCACAGTGCTAGAGCATGCTGTGCTAGGAAAGAATCAAGCAGGACAGATGATGGTGGTCTACAGACTCCTGGTGGGCAATCGTCCTGGGGGTGCAGCCGCCCTGGGCTTGGCAGGATCTTCCTCCTGTGGGCACCACAGTGGAATGGCGGCTGCTGCTCACCATGAGCCAGAGAAGTTACCATGACAACGTGTGATGCTCATGATGCCCAGTGCTACCAGCTTCAGCACTATTCATCAACAGGAGACATAGAAGCTTAGAACTGGAAGGAGCCTTAGTTGGCATCTCAATTTTCCTATGAATGCACAACACCTCCGATACAGGTGAGTCTCCTTATAAATCCACATATACAGTACACACACACACACACACACACACCAGGCCATGGACAGTCACCTTTCATGCAGATCTCCTAGTCTCTCTGGCTTTTCAGTTTTTACCTCTATTCCAGCACTTCAGATGGCATTTATTATAAATGTTATATATGTTATAAATCACACTATGTCCTCTTCCACACAAGGAGCATGAAACTCATCTCTCCTCGCTTTTTGGTATTTTGGTGTTTTATATGCAGGCTGCCCTACTTCTGCGGTTCTGATTTTGCATTTTTCTAGCTGCTTTCTTAAGACAGGCTTGGCGATGCCTGTGTGTGTCTTAGGCAGGGGTTTCCCAGACTCCTGGGCTGTGTCCTAATTCCAGCTTGGCTGGGTGGAGACGTGATGGGAGGGGTCTCCGTGAATACTGAGAAGAGGGCTGCAGGTACCACCCTGGCCTGGCTAACACATCAGGTCCCAAGGCAGGCACAATGCCATTGCCATGGGGCTCTGTGACACCTGGGGCACCAATGCCCAGGACCATCACTTTGGTTTGCTCGTTACTGAAACTGGAGACTGAGGTTCAGAGCAATCTGAACAGGACAAATGAACCCCATCAAGGTGCTTCCCTGTGACCAGAGGTGGGTTCCCACATGCCACTTGCCATATCCTGTGCTCTGGCCACCAGCCAGCCACCTGCTGATTCCTTTCCGTGCACTGCCAGGAGAAAGGCAGGGCTGGAAGTGCGGGGCTCAGGGAAGATGGGCTGGTAAGAAGGGCTGACCGTCCTCTACGAGGAGCCCTCCCCTGTCTGAAGTGGTCTATTTTGAGGCTCAGGGAAGGCGTCTGTGACTTCCAGAGGCCTCTCCTGGCCCTCAATGGCCTTGACTAAGCTGGACGATCAAGCGCAGAATGAGAGAAGCTGCCCTCTGGAGATGGCTGATGTGCAGAGACCTGGGACTCCAGGAGGGCGACGTGGACAGAGCTACACACCACTGGAATGACCGCTCCACTCTCCGCCAGCTCTCAGCTGGATCCGCGCTCTCCTTCACCCGAGGAATTTTACGTAAAGGAAACAGGTATATCATAGAGGTGGGCATGTGGGACATTTCAATGACGCTTGAGTCAGATGCATTCTTGTTTTAAAAATCATGTTCCCATGCTTTGTTTTTTGAAAATTTTGAAACGAATAGTAAAAATGATCAAACGCTGGGGGAAAACACCTCTGAAGGAGACATCTGTGTGTTCAGCTCACATGCTAACGCACCATAATGTGACCCAGGCTGGTGACTCAGGCCTTCGGTCTTGCTCAACCTTTTCCCCAGAGCTCCAGACTCATTCAGCAAAGCACATGCCACCGATCCCCATCTGGAGGACCCCACACCTTCCTCATTCTCCTTCACACAAGCCTGCTGGCTCTCCTAGCACAATCCTCCCCCCAGCCCCCTAAACTGGAAACTTGGTAAGAACCTCGGTCCCTCTCTGCGCCTCACCCTGCCCTCCAGTGCTCTAAGACCGTAGTTTCCCCGCCACGGGGGTGTCTCCTCTCCACTCCTGTGCCACTGCACAAACCACCTGCACGCTTCTCTGGGCCAGCCTCCCCTCTACCTCCTGTCTGCACCTTCCTGCCATGCTCCTGCGCCCCATTGCCACAAATCCTCTATCCGGCAGCCAGGCTGAGCTTTCTGAAATGCAAATCTGATTGCCCCCGCTTAAGATCTGCCAGGGGCCCCCACTGTCCAAAGAGAGAAATACAAATTCCTTAGGTCAACACTAAAATAATGGCAACTCATATAGATTGGAGACTTATTAGGCACTAGGTACTTTTGTTTTTTATATGTATTATCTCATTTAATCTCTAAAACAGCCCTGTGGGATAGCTACTGCCCTTATTTATGATCTCAGTTCTACAGGGGAGGCCCAGAGTGTTAAGAAGCTTGCCCACCACTCAGTAATAGTGGTGAAACTAGAACTTGAACTCAAGGAGGCTACGCAGGGCTCATGCCAGAACCCTAGTCTGCTTCCTTCCTAGTCTCATCTCCTGCTTCGCTCCTTTGTCCCTCTTACCGGCATGAAGGACGGATGTGCAGTGGAAGCCCCACGTGGAGGCCAGGTCGCTCGCCTGGCCTGGATTCCCCTCCCCATCCTGCTGACCTGGTGAAGGGGTTCGCACAGCGCCAGGCCCGGCGTCTCCGGGAAGCCCTTCTGATTCTGCGGGGCCCACCCTGTCCCTCTGGCAGGCTCCTCAGTAGAGAAGACCTCTCCTTTCCTCGGTTTCTCAAACATGGCTGGTGAAGGACAAACCGGTCTCCTCCCTGCCTTCCACAAAGTGAGGCCGGACTAATGAACCAGTGTTTGAAAGCAAGTCATTCCCCTTCTTTTGAGGTGATTTTCCTCCTTTACAAGATAATCCCAAAGCCCCATACATACAAGGTAAACGAGTGCTGGGCACGTAACGTGTGACATGATGACCAGGGTTAGTAGCACCGTACGCTGTGTCCTAAAGGTTCTCATGACAAGGGAAGAGCAATTTTTGTAACTGTATAGGGCGATGGGCGTTAACTTGAGTTATTGTGGTGGTCACGTCACAGTAAATTCGTATGTCAAGTCATTCTGCTGTACACGTTAAACGTAACAGTGTTGCATATCAATCATATCTCAGTAAAACTGGGGGGAAGTTCTACAGCTTTAAAGCCTATTGTTTGTAAAGTAAGAAAACTTTCTTTATGGTCACCTACTTCGACCTATTGTCCAACAACAACAAAAAAAAAAAAAAAGAAAGAAAGAAAAGAAAACCAGGATGGTATATAATCCAAACTGCTTCCTTTTTCAGAAAATTCTTTATTCCCCCTCCAGCCCACTCCTGACTTCCTCGTTAGGCTGCCTATCTGTACGTTGAAGAGCATTCACTTTGGAACCCCACCATTCTGGCTGGAAACAGTTCTGGCCTTGCCATTGTCTACTTGGACTCTCTTGGTTGAGTCACTTTATCTGTCTACTTCCCTTTGCTTACACCACTGATATGGAGCTAAAGCCTACCTTATAGAATTATTAGAAACAAAATGAGAAGCTATTTTAATGCAATTAGCACAGTTCCTGGAACATAACAGGCGCCCCCCAAATGACAGCTGTCATTATTAATGAAATGCTGTGAAGCCGGGTCCCGGCACTGCCCTGAGCAGGTCCTCTCCGGGGGGCTAACCAGCACCCGAGGCCCTGGAGGAAAGTCTACGGCAGGTGGTGGAATAAACAAGGGGATGGACGTCTAGCATGCTTCCCAGGTGGAATTTATTTTCATCATGTGGCATATTTTACTACCTCAGGCCTTTGTTCCAAAATGGATGCTCGTGGTACTTTAGAAAGAATGGCATAAGGAAGCATTTGCTACAAGCCAGACACTGTGCAAACTTTTCACATGCATCATCTCCATAATTGCTTATGTCAGCCCTGTAACGTAGGTGTCAGTATTCTCAACTGAAAGATGAGCAAATGGGGCTCCAAGAAGCATAAACCCAAAGTCCCAGCTAGTGGACACTGAAGGTGGGTTCAAATTTAGCAAGTGGCACAAAAACAAGGCGGCCTCATGGGCACTGCTGAAAATGTGCACAGAATGCCCTGAACTGCCAACCAGTCCCTCTGGAGCTGGAGACGCATTAACATGAAATGCATCTGAAAAGGAAAAAATATGTAACAATTCATTTAGCTACTGAGTAATAAACTCAGGGGATAAAACTCCCACCCTAATGCCTCGTTGGGCAATTACTTTCAATAAAAGTGATGCCCCCAAAAGTCATATAAAGCCAAAAAGCTACAGCCAGTTTTTGCACACTTAGCTTGTCATTAGTCCATTTAGAAGAGTGAACTTGCGGGAACAAAGGATTTCAGGTGTTGGCAAGGGGACAGGGTCAAGGCCACTGGCCAGAGTGAAATGCAGCCATTACTGTGGCTGCACAGTGAGTGGCAGCCCACAGGAGGCCCGCCCGGGGATGGTGGGGCATATGTGATCTCTCCTGGGTGCTCTTTCTTACCATGGGTGCCGAGCTGCCTGCTCACACGTGTATCTTTTATTTGGATCTTTCTCCATCAGATTCCGAATGAAGTCTTTCGCTGTTCAGAGAGAGCACAAGGGAAGGAATCAGTCTGTGCTTGAGATGGATACCAACGGGTCTCAGAGTATCCTGTGTAACATGAAGACTATGGGACCGGCCCTCTACAGATGTGACAGTACTTTGGACACGGTACCAACATTCGGGGAAAAGGGAAGGTTTAGAACTCCAAATGGGGCCTGCCAATGAGGAGGCAGCCGCGCCAGGCCTGGGACCCTGACTTCCCAACTCAAAAGTCCTTTTCCTCTGGCAGCTGGTGGCACTTCCGGTTCCAAGATGAAACATCTTGGTCACCAGGAGCCTTTCATTCTGCTCACTGCTGCCACAGGGGGCTGTTTGGCTGATGTCCTCTCTGTGTTTTAGGTGCCACGGAGCCGACAAAACCTCCGGGGCATCTGCTTGCCCGGCCAGGCCTTGGACCGGTGATGCAGTGAGATGTGCCCGTGTGGGAAGTGGAGAGGTTCTGGAGGCCCGGGATGGGTGTGACCCCACAGCAGGACACCGAGAACATGTGAGACCAGGTCACAGAATCAGGAGATGATACCGTGGGCCAGGCTGGAAACCTGCAGGCTCGCGGGGTCCGGCAGCTCACTGTCCACAGGCCTGGGCTTCTAGGGGAAAGCCGTGCCCTTCCCAGGTCAGAAGTGAAATACTGACCATGTGGCTCTTTCCTGCGGGCCTTGGAGAACTGTACTCCAGGTTTGGGAAGATTGAGGATAGAAGCAGGATGATTCCAGTTAGGAGGAAATAATACATAATAAAATGCAATGTCTGAGTAGTTCATTGGTGAGTATTAAAATCTGTTTCATTTATTATTTTATTTGACTCTTATACCACCCTCTTTGATAGGAAGGAAGATTACTACTATCCTCTTCCTGTCAGCCTGAGAAATCTCATCAGTTTACTTGGGCCTTGGTTTTGATCTTCACCCCTGAGGAAGAAACACTTAACTTCCCAGGGAACATATCAGTGTGGCACAGTAGGTGAGATGCGGGCTCTGGGGGAGGGGGGGAGGGCTTGGGTGCAAGACCCAGCTCTGCCACTCACTACCTGTGTGACTTGGGACCGGTTATTTCACCCTCTGGGCCTCAGCTTCCTCATCTGTCAAGTGGGGATAAGAGTAACACCATCTGACGGGTGGTCCTGAGGAGTGAGTGAGGCAGCACTCGTACACAGCTTACGGTGCTCAGCACGGAGAAAGCCCTCCTGGGGCCCCCGGACCAGGGAGAGGCTAGGATTCAGTGGTGGAGTGAGTCCCTGTCCCATGGCTGGATTTGGGCCCCTTGTCCCAAGTCTGACCTTCACTTTTTAAGTCAAGCCCAAGGGCAGAGCATCCTGCACCCCACTCCCCCTGTCCCAGGCCTGCTGGGGTCAGGTGGCCTGAATATAACTCCCCTGGGCCACAGGCCGGAGCCACACAGACTTACCGGAGTCCGAGATGTCATCCCAGTAGGGGGAGTCGAACTCGTACTCCGCCTTGAGGATCTGTTCGAAGAGCTTGGAGTCATTTTCATCGTAAAAAGGAGGGTAGCCGCAGAGCCTGGAAGAGGAGACAGAGTAAGGGTCTGAAACGCGGCAGCTCCGGTGTGTTGGCTGGACCACCCGCCTGAAGGAAGGGCCCTTTTCCTGCCGCGGAGACGCTCTGTGCAGTACGCGCTGCAGAGACCGTCTCAGCAGAGGAGTCGCACGTTCTGCCGGCACAGAAGTTGCTTTGTGATCTAATAAAAAGCAAAAAGTCCACCTTAGCTCTTTGCACATCATTCAACACAGAGTCCCTTGCACCCTGAAAACCTCCCAGACAGCCTTCTGTGTATAAATGTCACTGTGTATAAATCGTATCGTGTGTAATGCTGTCCCTCTATAGACGACGCGACAGGGAAAGCCCACCAGAGTTCAAGTGCACTGTACATTTCAGGGTCCCTTCCAGGTCCACTTTGTTTAACAAATCACCACAGGAAGAAAAGGAAACTTTATCAGTGTGATAAAAGTCACCCTAAACTGCATGTTGCTATCCTACCGTGCCCAACCCAGGTATTTGAAAGGCTACGGTTTGGCCATTAATATGCAATAGGCCTAAGCAGAAGTCAGCATAAATTAGAATGCTATCACCCTTTTCCGCTGAACTCTTTCAAAGTTATTTTTAAATTGGATGTTGGGATGCTGCTGTAAGCAACATCTAGTTCTGGAGATACCAACCGTCATCTGACAAACATAACGGGAAGAGACATTTTTATTAAATACCCCAAATACAATTCATTCCATAAAGTCATAGTTTCTCACTCCAGTTCTGCTATTGCCTCTGACGAGCCCTTTACCATTAATAGGCCCCTGACACTTTCTGGACCCAAATTTTCTCATCCGAACATAAGGAGGACAGACTAGAAAATTCCCAATATTCTTTCTGGTTTTAAGACACAGTGGTTCTCTGACTCCCTGTTCCAATTGGTTTGGCTGGTCAAGGCCCTGGGGAAGATCTAGCAGGTACGAGAGGTCAGCGTGGGGCAGAGGCAGGCCTGGTAGGGTGGGAAAGGTGGGAAGGGGTAGGATTGAGGCTGGGGTTGTAACAGACAGAGCAGAAAGCTGGGCTAGGTTCTGGACAGCCAGGTGCAAAGTTGGAGAGCGCAGAATTCGACCTCCACAAGCCAGAGGGTGGCAACCACAGTGGGAGTTCTGCCCCCACACGAGCCCCGAATCTTCCCACAGGGCCAAACTTCGTTGAAAACAGCTATGGCCTAGAGACCAGCTTAATGAGAACAAATTAACAGCAACCAACAGACTCCAGGCCTTTAAGAGATGAGGCTGCAGGCAAATAAGAAATTTAATAAAGGTTTAAAACAGCCTTGGTACAGTCATTCTTCAGCCACGCAAGGCTGCACAGGGGACTGGCTGATGACATTTTTAAAGGCTATAAGGCCTCGGGCTGATAGGGTTCTAATGCGTCCATCCCCACAAGGTTGATTTAGGGTCCAGTGCCTGGAAAATCTCATTTTTAAGGATCTGCTGCTCCTGGTGAAATGAGTTAAGAGCCAGTGCCTCTGAAACCACTGAGCATATATTTCACTGCGCAGGAAATCCTGGAGCCCAGAGATGGACACGTACATGCTTCCCATAATGAGAACCTGGACTGGAAGAAATGTGCATATGAGGAAAAGCAGACGGAGCAAAATGTTAGTGTGTCTTGGAAAATAACTGAATTTTAGTTTATTAACAATGGAGTGTGCTTTTTTACAGCTTGGCTTTCTTTTCAAGGAAAAAGAACCTTTAAGAAAATTCCAAGAAAGACATACTCTTCTTGTGCCAATTTTCTTCATGTATGTCCTAATTTCTTCTGGTTTTAGCTCTTTTCTTGGGGTGGGGGGGGGAATAGAACACTGTGTTTATGCGCCTGTACTGAGGATGGAAGAAAAGGAAATAGATCTAGCTTAGAGACTAAGTAAATTAAATCGTAAAAAGAGGATTTCAAAATAAGGACTGTAAAAGAGCAGAAGGGCACAGAGAGGTTCCAAAACCTTCCTCAGACCGCGACATGCCACAGAGCTCCCTGGCCAGGCCATCCTGTCGGTGCGCTTGTGTGGCAGGCCCAGACAGGGGAAGCAGCAGCTCTGTGCTGTCTCGGTACACGGGACACTGGCATCTGCGGCCCGGCCATGCCCATCCGCATGTGTAATCTCTGTGTGATCATTTTACGTATCCAGCCACTTAAATAACCTACAAATTATCTCGCCACAGGTACTCAAAGCAAATAAAGCCATTCCCAGCTGTTCTAGCCTAAGAGTATGGTTCAGAATAACATTGAACCCTGTCAACCCCAGGACCAACAGCCATGCCCAGTATGGGCAACACGCCTTCATAGGGCTCATCCATGGACTCTGCCTTATGGGTCTCATCGTGCTTGGAGCTCTGGTACCAGAGGCAGATGCAGGACGGCCAGGACAGAGCTCGTATCGGAGTGGTGGTAGGCAAAGAGGTACCATCACGCCCGTGTAAAAATGGGTATCATCAAAATAAAAGAAGGTAAGTGTTGGTGAGACTATGGGAAAAAGGGAACCCTTACACACTGCTGGTGGGACTGAAAAATGGTGCAGCCACAACAGAAAACACTATGGAGGTTCCTCAGGAAATTAAAAATAGAGTATATGGTCCAGCAATCCCACTTCTGGGTATATATCCAAAGGAAATGAAGTCAGTACCTCGAAGACACACAGGAAGTCTTTCTCTCTCTCTCTCTCTCTCATGCTCATTGCAGCATTATTCACAGCCAAGAAATGGAAATAATTTAAGTGACCACTGACTGATGAACAGACCAAGAAATTGTGTATAAAAATTATATGTATATAATTATATATATATGTGTGTATATATGTATATATATATATATACAACATACATACATACATGGTAATATTAGCCATTCTTATAGAAGGAGATCCTGCCATTTGCAACATGGAAGAATTTGGAGGACACTACACTAAGTGAAACATGCCAGACACAGGAAGAAAAAACTCCACAATCTCACTTACAGGTAGAACCTAAAAAAGTCCAATACGCAGAATCAGAGAGCTAATCACTCAGAGAGTGATTAGCAGGGGTCAAAGGGCACTAAGTTGCACTTGTGTCCGATGAGTAAGTCTAGAGTTCTGATGGGCAGCACCAGGACCACAGTCACTAATGCTGTCTGTATTTTATCCTGGGAATTTGCTACGAGAGTGCATTTCAGAATGCACAATAAATAGTACAGAATAAAAAAATAATAGCAGTGGAGGAAGAAAACGTGTTAATGAGCTTGACTGTTAGCAATCATTGTACTTGTATACACGCACATTGAATCACCACATACATACACTTTAAGTATATACAATATCAGGCTGATATTAAACTTAAAAAGAATATTTTATGTTTTGAGTCTTCACCTAAGGATTTGTTTATTGATCTTAGAGAAGAGAAGGGGAAGAGAGAGAGAAACACTGGTCAGTTGCTTCCCATTGGTGCCCTGAGCAGGGATCAAACCCACAGTCCAGGCATGTGCCCTGACCAGGGATTGAACCTGCAACCTTTTACTGTTTGGGATGATGCACTAACCAACTGAGACACCCAGCCAGGGCAGGGAGTATAATTTTTTTTTTAAGTTTTATTGTGGTAAAAAAAACTTAACATGAGATTTACCCTCTTGACAAGTTTTTCAGTGCACAATCCCGCCTTGCTGACTGCAGGCACGGTGCTGCCAAACGCAGGTCTGGGTATCATTCACCTGAAACTTCACATCCGTTGATCACTCCCCATTTCCTCTCCCCCTGCCCCTGGCAGCCACCATTCACCTCTTTGATTCTATGAATTTGACTGTTTTAGGTGCCTCACTTAAGTGGAATCATGCTGTATTTTTCTTGGTGTAACTGACTGACTTCACTTAGCATAATATCCTCAAGCTGTGTCCATGTCGTCATACATTTCAGGATCCCTGCTTTAACAAAACTGAATAATACTCTGTTTTGTGTGTGTACCTCATTTTCTTTATCCATTCATCTGTCAACAGACATTGAAGTTGCTTCTGCACCTTGAGTTTTATGAGTAACACTGTAATAAACATGGGGCTGCTAATATCTCTCTGAGATACTGATTTCAATTGTTTTGGAAATAGACCCAGACATGGGTTTGAGAGATCATATGGTAGTTCTATTTTTAATTTTTGGAGACGCATCCACACTGTTTTCCACAGTGGCTGCACCATTTCTCATTCCCATCAACAGTGTGCACAGGCTCCAGTTTCTCTACATCCTCACCAGCACTCTTTGTTTTTTTGTTCTTTTTATTTCTCCGAAGAAGATACACAGATGGCCAACAGGTACATAAAAGAAAAAAGCTCAACAGCACTCATCATCAGGAAATTCAAATCAAAACCACAAGAAGACATCACTGCACACCTGTCGGAACGGCGGCCGTCGGGCAGCGACTTTGCCAGAACATTTCCACACAATCTCATGGCCCTCCACGGTCATCGTTCCCAATCGACCAGCACATCCAGACTTACTTAGTGTCCCATGTGTGCCTCATGCACAGCATTTATTTGTTCATCAAATATTTATTTGGCATCTATATATACCAGGTACTGGGTTTGATATACAAGGATAATGAAGATAGGATGATAAATAAAAACCAGTTCCTGCTTCAAGAGCTCAGTCCGGTGGGAGAGATTCAAAGGGATAATGGCAGAGGCAGTAACAATAATAGACGTGTGCAAAGGTTGTTATGAGTACAGAGAGCATGGACATTGAACTGAAATAGTTTTATGAGAGTTGGAAGTAGCAGATGTCTCTGGTTTGTCTCAGAGGATGAGTTTTATAGGAGAACAGAGGGGGCCACAGGTGGGAGTGATTAACTGGGAATGCAGGCATGTGTGGAGGCATAAAAGAGCACAGTTTATTTAAGAACAATTATCTAAGAGCAATAAGCTGCTGCTATAGTGTAAAATACACATCAGTGAGTAGCAGAGACAAGGCTGGTGGAATGGTTAGTGGTGAGACCAGGGAGGCTGTGCTCCCCATA